TATCTACTAGGACTCTCTAAGATCCCTCTCACAGTTGCTGCTATTGAGTCAGATTCCACCTATTCTATACCTATACATTTGGTTTTTCTTGCCTAAGAGTAAAACTTTACTTTTCTCACTATTGAATTTCATTTTGTTAGATACGGCCTAATGTTCAAGTCTTGAACAACATTCAATTCTTGAACATTTTCGGAATCTCATGTCAAGATCCTTGAAGTGGGGAATGGTTGAGAGCTTGCAATGGTTGAATGCCTGCAATGCAACTATAGTGCTTCACACCAAACTATAACACACATAGTTCAAGAATGTCCCCTCAAGAAATTCCAAGCTTTCCAAGGAAGGTCTGTATAGTTAAAACTAGCTATGGTTTTCCCAATAGTAGCATATGATCGTGAGATTTGGATCATAAGGAAGGTTGAGCACTGAGGAATTAATGGTTTAGAATTGTGGTGTTGGGAAAAACTTTTGAGAGCTCCTTAGACTGCAACAAGATCAAACCAGTCAATTCTAAAGGGAAAAAACCCTGATTGTTCTTTGAAAGGACAGATACTGAAGCTGAAACTAAAATACTTGGGCCAACTAATGAGAAGAAAGAAAAAAAAAAGAAAAAAGAAAAATGGGAAAAGACCCTGAAGTTGGGAAAGATTGAAGTCAAAAGGAAAAGGGGATGGCAGAGAATGAGGTGGTTAGATAGTGTAAACAATGCACTGAGTATGAGTTTAGGCAGACACAGGGAGACAATGGAGCACAGGGAGACCTGGCGTGCTATGGTCCATGGGGTTACAGAGTTGGACACGACTTGGTGACTGAACAATGAAAATCTCCTTGAGACTTTATGATTTAAGAAACTGAGCACAGGAGAGAACTCAAAATTCAAGGTAGAAGTAAAAAAGTAAAAAAAAATGAAAAACCTCTCTCGTCTTTAGTCAGCTTGGGACTTGTAAAATGACAAGGGACAAGGGACTCATTGTTCTTATGCAGGGGCTTGTGGCTCTATGACTAAGAAAGTCTTCTCTCACATCCAACTGGTGTGTCAATTATCCCTATTCTAGAATAAGGGGGCCATTAGATGATTCCTTATGCACCAATTTGAATAAGGCTTCCCAAAAGCAAATTGAAGATCTTTCTAAGAGGCATTATGCAATAGTATGAGGACTTTTAATTATCTCAACATTGGTTAAGAGACACATTCTGCCCAGCATGGCCCTTCCAGGAAATTTTGCATTTGTGTTGCTGACAATTTTCTGCTTAAGAGAATGGAGGAAAGCTCAAATAGCTCAATTATCCATGACTTAATAGAAAACAACAGGGAAGATTTAATTAAAAGGATGTAGCAGTAACATTGAGAGAAGAAATAGTGTGATGCTGAAGTTTTTGATTTTAAGGGAAGCTAAAACTGAATGCTGTCAAAATAGATTCTCCATATTAGGAGAATCCAATAGGAAAAGGATTAGAAGATCTGTGGAACTTAAAAACACATACATACATACAAAAAAATTGCAGAACTTCCAAACATTTCATTTTAAAAATTTAAGGTTAGGTAATTAAATGGAAATTTTTCACTAAATGCTGGTCTTCACAATCAAATTGAACAACCCTTCAGAGAAGTGTAAATTTCATTCTAATCTCAATTTATCCACATCATTTTTTCATGCCCAAAGATTTATTCCCTACCATAACATAAAAGACACCCAATAATGATATAAACCCCAAAGAAATTTTCAAGCTAAATGTTTCCCTGGTGGGAAATATCTCTTGTTGCAGCAATGTAAGAATATTTACTTGATTGTAAAACAAATCTAAGGCAACGATTAATACAAATTTACCTTGAAGTTAATTGTCACATCAAATTGAACCCAGACCTTAAAGAAACTTAATTCTAACTTCATGCTATAGCATATCCATAGTTTTTAACCTAAGAGTTTACCTAGACATAAATTTTCCCGTATCACGAATGTACCATTGCATAAAAATCACACCAGAACAGCAGAGCTAATATTACAGTTAAATTTCACCACTGTCCTCAAGGAAGCCTAAACCTAACCTTATTCCTGCCCATAAAGATTTGTTATCCCCCAAATTACTCTAAAAAACAATTTTGACAAGAAGATATAGAACCAGACAACCACAACCCATAGAAACTCATTCTAAATCTCACCGATATAAGAAATTCAACTGCTGAAAAATTATTAAACTTAGCCTATGTCCCCTTACTCTAATTTTCACCCATGGTGAATCCAAAACTGCTTAACCTAAATGTTTTCTTAAAGGGTAATCCTACTGTATTGTGAATGCATCTCCAATCATAAAAACATTTCAAGGCTAATCTCAGATTCTACCAGAAAGCCTAACTTTAAAGTCTAATTGTTAACCATAACCCTTACAGCAAGAAAAGCTGTTTATCAGCATATTCCTACATACAATTCATACTAATCTCTAAAACTAATCCCGACTCCAAACTGAACAATGGACATCCAAGAATCACAATCTAGACTCTAACATAATTACATAGCTAACCAAACTTTTTTAACCTAAATGTTTGCCAAATGGCAATTCTACTGTAACATGAAGAGTAAAAAACTCACCTGTTGAGATTTTCCCTTCGTGCCATACAATGACATTTAACCAGAAACCTCACGGAAACCTAATTTATCCTTCCTTCATCCTGTTGCAAAATTGAAATGCTTTACTACAGAGGAAAAGGTCCAGAGGAAAAATGAAATAAAATAACCCTTAATAAGAAAACTCTAGTATAACATTTCTAGGAAACTTATATCCATCATTGTAGCAATAGAATCTTTTTACAAAATTCATATTTTGTAGGCAACCCCTTCAAAATATGAACAGTCCAGGGGTCAATTACCAAATAATTCTTGGTTCTGCCATTAAGCCCAGCAAGCAGCTGGCCTGGTTCATAAAGCTAAGAGTCATGGAGCAGGAGTACAGGTCTGACAATAGCGGGGAATTTCCAGGCTGAGGGCTGTTCTGAAGTATACCTAGCTGCAGATGTGGTTCAATTAGGGATGTTGGTATCCTCGCTTCTCGAAGACCCAAGCAGATCCCCTCTGTCTTACTACCAATGCACCATAGGCCTAAAAACGCAAACAGGTTCTAGGGTTCTCACCCAAGTCTACCTTCACCTGCTTATTCTGATTATCAGTCTCATAAGGCCAACTGCCTGCTAATTCCTTGAAGGTGGAAATCCAGTGGATTAGGCCCTTCAGTCTGATTCATAGGTATCATATAATCAGAGTAGATCGTAACAATTAGAGGAAAGTATGCATACAGATTGAAGGAACTGGACAGGTTTGGCTTTGAAAGGAATGGGAATATATGATAGTACTCTTCAAATACCTGAAAGGATGGAACATTGAAAAAGAGCAGTAATTATTCTCTATCATTTTAGAGTGTAGGGCATAGAAACAATAGATTTAAGTTAGAGAAAGAGAATTTGCAATTAACTTTTTCAAATTCCTCTTAGTAAGGGGTTGTGTCACTAGAATCTATTATCCAGAGCAAATGTAGATTCCATTTCATTGGGTATGTTGCAACAAAAATTAAACAGCCATTTATCTTTAACTTGGATTTTTTTCACTGAGTATGGGGTTAAGTTCAACTGCTTAAATTGTCTTTCCAATTCTGTGATTAAATTAACTTATACTAGCACTGTATATTTTTATATCTTTTCTTTTCAGAACTGGAAAACACTACTATCCACTTTTTCAGAACACATTTTCTGCATAAGTAGGTTATGCTACATGATTTTTAAGGAGTCCCTGGGAAGTGACATTTAAAATCATTACCATTCTGATTTGAAATAAAATCTACATTTCTCCTAAGCTTTTTGAAGTAATTTCGTGGAATCTACAGACTGAAACTAACAGCTGTCAGAAACCAAAAGGTTGTTTACTTTGAAGCCTTGAGAACAAGTTATTCTGAAAGATCTCAATTTAATCTTCTAGCATCTATGTAGTCAAAATAGAAAATAACCTGAAATATGGTCAGTGCTTTAAAAAGGCAAAAGCATGGTTTTAAGACAGTCTAGTTCTCAGTGAGTTAGAAATTCAAATCTAGGCCACTTAAGGGTTCAAATAATGTCTTCAACCCACACTCAAACATCTGTTAATAAGAAATGCTAAATTTCAGAAATATCATTATAGACTAGTCATAAGCATATAAAACGAAAACAAATAAATGGTGCCTGGTTATTCTGAGGGAGAGAGAATTGGCAAGGCAAGTTTTGTCTATAGTCTTAAAGCAAACTTAAGTCATAACACAGGTTTCATTTGAAGATAATGATCTCTCCAACTCATGGTAGAAAACGAAAACCAAGAAACCATGTTTTTTACTTAGATTACCCCCAAGAGATGTTCATAGCATTCTCTTCTTATTGCTGTCCCCCAGAAGATTATTGCAAAGTATAGAAGATTGAACAGAGGACAGTCCTTGTGAAGCTCTACAACTGAAAGTGTATTTGAACCTGGATCTTCCAAGAGATATTGCCCAAATGCATACTCCAATATATATCTTCCCTGATTGGAATGAGATGGTTTCATAGGCTCTATTGGCAAGAAACTGGTACTGTGATAACTTTCAGGTCTGGCAGGATCCCAAACACTGGAGAGAATAGAGTTACAATGACTAGTTGGGAAATTAGGAACAAACCAGGAAGTTCTTTGAAGGTCTTCTTGTTTTATGGAGGTGCAGAAGAAATAAAAAAGGACACACACCATTCAGTTGACCAAAATATTTTACTTTAAGCTTTCAAGTTTAAGAAAACCAAAATCAGGGGCATGTCAACAGCCCTCTCCAAAGCTATCATACTTATCTAGCAACTGACATTAATTTTGCAATTTAAAGAAAAACATACTTGCCAGAAATGCACACAAAATAAGTTTCTACCAGTGTAAAAAAACATTTAGACATCTATGCATTTCAGCTTTTAATTAAATATTAAACAAAGGTCTAAACTTCAGCTTGTTGAGCCTTTTTTGATATAATTCTATTTTATATTCCCCTCTTACCCCAAGGTGCAATTCTGCAACAGGAAGCAGAATAAATCTTTTCATGAACATCAAATTGTGATTTTTACTGTTTAGCTTTGTTTTTGAATAATCCAGTGCAATTAATTTCAACAATATTCAGGCAATTTGATATGGTCAAGCAAAACATGTAGCTTAACTACAGAAACTGAAACAGGCTCAATATTTTTCTGCTTATCTGTTTGATTCAAGAAGGAATTCAACAAGGTGGTGCCACTTTAGCACTGCCAAGGTCATCCACCTTTCCACAGATAAGAATTTATCTCTAAGTTACAGAAGAAATGCTACTTTTACAAAAGCTATCCTATTTTGAACTTTTATTGAGAGAAATTTAAGGATTTCTATTACTCAGTAATGAACATTTCCAAAATGTTTTTCTTTGTCATTACACTGTCCTATTCTTACCCTTTTTTCCTTTCCTTGGAAATGTTATGCTTATACTATAAGACAAATATACCAATTTAATAAATATCCTTTTGCAATAGAAAACCTGTAAAAAAACTCTATAGGTCGAGCATGATCTATCTTCTTTCTGTATTTAATAGACAATTTAGGAATTTCGGGGGTTCTGCTGAGATCTGGATTTGGTAAATCTATGCTAATCAACCATGAATTTCTTCAATAATGTAGCAAAGTATTCCTTATGGGTATTAGCTTTGCTGCCAAGAAAGTGCAATTGAGAAAGAATCCTGCACAAGTATTTTGAACCCTCTTCTTTATGAAAAAGACAGTGGAACTGTCGAAGCATGCTTGACAGATTTCCTTCTCACAAAACCTTCATTTATTCACCAGCTGTGACTGAGGGCCTTTCTTTTCTTTCTATACCTTTGAACTTTAAGAGGCTTCTTAAAAATCTACAAGTATCAATAAACCCCGAATAGCAAGAGTTAGGAATTTATAACTGTTTTAAACTGAACTCATTTTTGAGAACTTTTTTCAAGAACTTGGGAGTGTTAACGGAGTGCTAACTGAAGTATTTTATTCTCAGGTAACTATCAAAACCATCATTTCTCACTGCAGTTATTGCTTCTCACATAATCCATAGCATAAATTCCTATCCTTACTACCCGCCCAAAATCTGGTTCCATATATTTATATTTTCTTCTGGTTTGCATTCATTTCTTGAGATTTTCATCTTGATTGAAAATATTTTTTTAAAAAAATCTATAGTTTCAATATAATTTTAGAAAAATACTAACTCCATATTCTGTATATGCCCAGTTTCAGGGGAAAATAGAATTCCAAACAGCAGATTCATAAACCTCTGTTTTCCATGAATTGTTTTACTATCTATGAAGTTTTCCACATAATGTTTGGATTGTACTATTAAGAAAAGGCAAATATTCAATATTACCCTTGCAAAAGTACTTTCCTGTTTCCTTCTTTGCTTGGCAGTCTTCCAATCAGGCTAGAAGGAATCATGGAACAGGCCTTCTGCTTTGGGATTGCTACAAATCAAGAACTCCCCATTGCCAATGCTGCCCTCCTAAAAATATTTAGACTTTCTTTGCCTCCATTGCTGCCACCTTCCTTCTTTAAGGAAGGTCTCAAAATACTTCTGATGAAGCTTGTGAGAAGAAGAGATCATGAAAGCTATGTATTCTGGAAGCCATTTCTGCCAGCACAAAGTTGCCAGTATCCAATTTCTTTAAACTAAAACGTACCAAATAGAATGTAAGGATTTTCCTTTTTAAAGACGATTTCATTATTACCGCTATGGTGCTAGAAGGAAACTGATTAAGACTTTCAGGAAAATAGCTGTCATGCTATCTACATTAAACTGCTTCAATTCCATTCCTTTTAGTGGGGTTTTGATCAGCTAATTATGTGCTACAATATAGCTATTTTTCCTGCACAAGAATACCAGATTAGTCTTCATTACTTCCATTAAATTGGGAACAGAACTTGCAGACAATGAAACTTCAAAAAGTAAGATAGCATGAAAGCAATTAAGCATCTATTATTGTTCTGGTGTCGCTGGACATCATCTTTCAGACTTCAGCTTTAAAAATAGCAGACACACATTAGGACAGATAGAAAAGAGATTTTCTTTTATGAAAGGCAGTACTATGTTATGACCTGACTAAAGCTTGGTAACATTAGTCCTATTTAAGCAGCTAAGAGAAATATAGGAAACGCTCCATTCTGGTTGAATAGAGGCACACGAAGACAAGGAATCAATTGCAAGGCAACCAGGTGGGACATACCTGGCCATAAGTATCTGCAACATAGTAGCTGCTGAAATTTGCATCACTAACATAGGGTGCTGGCTGGTAATAGCAAGTGACATTATTAGCGTTAGGGATGATGTTTTGCTCCACAAGAACTCTGAGGGCCAAAAGGGAGATCAAGTTCAGTGTCTGTCTACGTTCATGCCCCATGAGACATACTGTGCTCTCATTCACCACTTTCCGCAAGGTCATTAGGTAGTCATATTTGCTTCTGTCCTCTTCCGCAAAGTGATTCTGCAGGTAGGTTTCCAATTTGCGCTGCTGTTCCAGAATATCTGGGAAGTCTATGAAGAACCTGGAGCACATGTAGCGCTCTAAGGTTTTGATTTCCTCTTTGTCCATAGGCTGGAAATCCCTCACAAGAAGGTTACTGTATTTGAGGAGCCCGCCTCCCCTAATTTCCTCAGGGTTCTTGGTAGTTATCAGTCTGTTCTTAAGATGAAGAAAGGCGGCCTCAAAATCGCCGTACATACTTTCCCCAATGACAGTTGGATGGAAATGCTCTGACATTGGGTTTGCTGAGCACTTGTAATAAAAAAGCAGGGAGTCTAATATTATTTGAAAAGAATCCACACTGAACTCAAACTGCCGCCGTATACGATCCACAAACTTGAGTTCTACATTTCTGCCATGCCTGTTAGAAAGAGATATTAAGCTCCATCGGTCATTTTCAGTGGATACCTTCACCAACTTTTCAATATATACCTCCTTAAGAGTCATGGGAGTAATCTTGAGTTTGTTCACACCTTCAGGCAAGAAATTTAAAAGGGACTGCAGCACCACTTCTTTGACCAACTGGAACTCAGTCTCACTTGGAAGGGACACCTGAAAAACAAGATCTAGATCTTTACAACCCAGTCCGTTATCTTTAACCAAGACATGACCAGCTGCAGAACCATTCAGTCGAACGTCGTGCACGAGAATGCTTGCTTCTTCCAGCCTGCTCCGAACAGTTTGTATGATCTTCTTCAAAGTTATCTTCAGCGTTGGAAAATTGCCCCGTCCATGAATTAGCACTACTTCTGATAGGATCTCATGCAAGCGGCTGACCTGTTCCCAACTTAGTACACTGCAAGATGTGGCGTCAGCCTTTGGTCTCTTGTCTGCCATTGTAGATTAATGTTTGAACTAGAAGGGAAGAGAATATCGAAATAAGATACATCCTCTTAGTACAATTAAGCAAATTTGAGATCTTAACGAGTGATTGGGAATGTTCTTTATGGAAAGGAATAAGAATCTGGATGAAATATTGTAAGCATTTTGTATTTGCTATAGTCTAAACTGGTTCACTGATTCTTTATACTCAATTCATTACAATTGTGGTTCTCTTTGCACATTAGTTTCTCCAGCAACTTCACTATTTCTCAGAATGCCTGAAATTCTCACACATCGTTTTTGTTGCAAGGAAAGAAACCCCCGAGAAAATTTTGCACCTGAGATACATCTGCTCTTATTTGTTAGATCAAATTTTATATGAATATATTAAAAACCATTTTTCCAGCTCCTCCTATTCAGACATTTTGCCCCTAAAAATATTAGTCTAGGGACCTCTTATCCTACCTTGATACAAGGAACGGCTGGGAAAAAAGATATATTAGACCCTTTCATGAACAGAATTAAGTTCATGACAAATTGCCTCCGTTAGTTTGATTACCCCCTTCATCTCTACACCAGTTTCCTTACTTACCACTTTTCTCCCACATGGTATAATCATTTTAATGGGATTTGACACGGATTTCATGTGAAAGAAATAGAGAAATCCACTTATAAGAAACTGGATGCCTCTTTTAAATCTGAGCCAAACCATTTAGCCTTTCCTTTAAAGGATTTCTAGGCTAGCTTATAGGACACAGTCCTCTCTAGAGAATTAATAAACAGAGACACCTTACAAAAATACCTGTTAACAACCATTTTCAATCAGTCTACTACAAGTTTCACTAGTTAATGCTGGACACAACCACAATTTCACACTTGCCCACATAGACCCACATACTCCAAGTTTAATTATTTGAATTTAGGTGGGTAGAAATGTACTGGTTGCCTTGTTTTAGAGTTACAGAATGGCACAGAAAAGTTCTTACAAGAAAAGGTCTCAACCAAAACTCTAATGCACAAAAGGGATCATGAGAAGTAAACTGGATTGCTCTAGACAGAAAGAACAACTTTCTTCTTCTCCCTCTCCTGATATGTATGGTTAGACAACTTGATTTCAATAGAAATGAGCCTTGCACCCAAATATGTTTGTATCCCACCCCTCTACCACCACCTTCGTTTTCCGAAGACTATCCCTGGAAGAGAAAGAATTTTGCTATTACTGTTAGAATATTGAGAATCCCAGACTCTTGCTGGTCAGCTAATTTCCGTATGAATCAAGTACGTAGACTAAAGATGCACTTTCTGTTGAGACCGAGAGAATTTAGCCCCGTGTCTGCTCTTCTGCCGCATTACTTCAGCACCAGTAGCAGAGGAATGCAGCACATATGGTATTCACTAAAGTCATGCTGCCTATATGTGCCCCTTGTCTTCTCTCTAGTCACAGCAATTCTCAAGATGGGTATCAGCTGGCCGGTGGCAAGAAGGGCAAATTCCAGTAACAATACTTGGCTAAGTGAAAAGCAATATATCAGGAAAGGTGCTATTTGTATGCAGTTCCCTTAGGAAAGAAACAATGAACACAGCATCTTATCGGAGATATTTTCTTATTTAGAAGACTAGACAAGAACCAGACATCTAGTACCTCCTTAGCAGAACTGCTTAGACTAAAAATGAAAGTGCCATTATATTCCACATTATGTGTGGCCTAAGGAGGCCAAATAACTTAGAATGTCAAGTAACAGACTTCCCATGGGTCCCACTGAAACACTAGACCTGTTGCCCCTCAAAAATCATACAGGAAAATCATGTTAATGTATTCAAGGCAGCATTAGAAAACTAAACATGGAAAGCTGCAATAGAAAAGGAGTTAAATCATTTGGAGTTGCATAGGAAATATTCTAATAAGCTGTTATTTCATGGCATTTATCTTTAGATAAGAAGCACATCAACGATATACTATACAATTAAAAGAATTACTATAAAATAGATTGATATTATGAAATATTTTTCTATTTCATTGCTCAGCAGCAATGCTGAGACATCACTTCAATATACAAACCTATTTTTAGGCTGTACGTATATCCATCAAGGCTACTATTATATTACTAGATGGTAGTATTTCCACAGAGACTTACACTGAAGTCTTTCCCAAAACCGCTAAACAAGATTGCTTTATTCCGGAGTTACAAAAACCATTGGAGCTGTTCACATAAAAGACATGTGTTTATTTTGTAGAGCACACTTTCCCGTAAAATGGTAGAACTGAAATTAATGCTTAGTAGAGTCATTTTGCTATGCAGCTTTCCTAGAAAGCTGATCAGAAATGCTGAGATGTCAAGGCAATGCAGACAGAACAAAATGTGATAAAGATGGCCTGCACATTCTTTATTTCAGAGAGGAGCCTCTGCTGGATCCTTCTGCTTTCTATTTACAGAATGCTCAATTTGAATCCAACCCATTCATCTGAAGCAGCCTAGTTACAAGGTATTTTTCATGCAGGAGTCATCCTGCCTCATTCACAGAATGTTAAAGGTGCCCTGCAAGCAAGGCAAGGGTAACTACTACCATCTATTTTTTAAGCTACTGCATATACAAAAGGAAAAATAAAACAGTTGCATGATAAAATTGAATAGCGGCAGGAGTTTAGGAGCTGTCCTTCTCAAAGCACCCTTCATTGCAGACATCTGGCTGGAAAACCGAAGCTCACATATTAGGGGGTGCCCAGATTACCAAAGGCTGCTGTAGAAGACTTCTTGTTTCACAAGGCCAGAATCTTGTGCAGAATACAGTATGGACAGAGCTCTTTGGAATAACTCTGACGCTTGGAAAATGGAAGGCTATTTAAAAAGCAACCAAGCAAAGGTAAGTGACTAGACCAGAGGTCCCCAAACTTGGCAACTTTAAGACTTGTGGACTTCAACTCCCAGAATTCT